TATACTTAAATGGACGCTTTCTATGTAAGTCGATACTAAATTCTAGAAGATTCATTAATTTTCCTATACTTTTACTCTCCTTAATTATATTTATTTATTTTATTATTATTATAGATATATAATAAATTAATATAATAATATAAATTAATTATATAACACATTAAAACAATATATATTTTGTATATATTTATATATATATATATATATATATATGTAGAGAGTGTTTCTTTTAAATAAGATCACCTAAATATCTCTTCGGATTATAGTGATGCAAAAAAATATTTTTAATGTAATGTGCATGGTGTTAAAGGACTAATATCTGACAAGAATATTTTTTCTCAAAGTTATTTTTTTCGAAGTTCTCAAGGTGATCAATGTTTTAGGACACAAATACATTTTTTTTTTTTTTTATTGGTAGTGTAGCTAATCAACAAATACATTCAGATATGTATAATAACATGATCTAGAAATGAGATTGATCTTCGAAAATTTAAGCTTTACGTAAAATTGATTTCTAGCGAAATTATAGACTTTGATCAAGACTCCTTGAAAGCGTAAAACAATTGAAAGATTTGACATTGAACATTTTTTTTAAATGTATTTACTTTCTTAAAAGTAAACTGTAATTTTACGCCAATGATGACAACGACGATCAATCTTCAGAAAAAACCCCGAAGATACCCGGAGATTGCTGAAGATTGCCGAAGATGATGGCCGATAATGGCCAATGAATGTTGTCGTCGTCGTTGTCGTCGTCATCGTCGGTCTTCCCCGATTGTCATTGTCGGTCTTCTTCAGTCGTTGTCGTCGGTCATCCTTAGTCGTCGTCGTCATTATTTTCGGTCGACGTCATCATCATCGGTCGTTGTGGTCGGCCATCTTCGGTCATCGTTGTTCTCGTCGGCCATGTTCGGCCATCATCATCGTCATACTCAGTCTTCCTCGGTTGTTATTGGGTCATTCTTTGGTCATCGTTTTCGGCCGTCGTCGTCATTGTAGTTATCATCGTCGTCGTCATTGTCGTTATCATCGTTGTCGGTCATTTTCGATCGTCGTCTTCGGCTGTTGTCGTCATCGACGTTATCGTCGTTGTCTATCCTATTCGGTCGTAGTCGTCTTCAGCTTAAAATTAGAATTTTACGCAATACATTTCCTGAAACGACCAATAACCGACTGTCTACAGATCTTTCAATTGTTTCACATTCTTGGTTACGAGTCTTGGTCAAAGTCTGCGATTTCGTAAGACATCATTTTTACGTAATACTTTAATTTTCACAGATCAAGGTCATGTTATTGTACATATCAGAATGTATTTTTTTATCTGTTACATGATGCAATAAAAAAAAAAGTAATTATGTGTCAAAAAACACCGATGACTTTGATAACTCCGAAAAAAATAACTTCGTGAAAATGTTTTATTCTATACATATATATAATATTTTATTTAGTAAGCCAAAGAGATATTTAGGTTGCCTTACTTAAAAGGATCACCCTGTATATATATATATATATTTTTTTCTTTTTTTTTCCTTTTAAGAAATTTTATCGGAAATTCATATTCACAGTATTGATTTAGATAATATTTACGGTGGATAAATATTTATTTATTCAAGTTTTAGATGTTTATATTATACAGAAAAATTTAGTTTAATTATTCATCAATTTTTTTGTTTTTTTTTTTTTTTCGGTAATTTTCTATCCTTAAATATTGAGATATTTTTTTTTATCTATATATTATTATTAGATATTTTATATTATTTCATTAGAAATTTCATTAGAAATTCGTATTCATACTATATTGATACACATGGTAATCTAATGGAGGTGTCATCATGCAAAACTATTCGTACGTCGAAATAATAATAATAATAATAATAATAATAATAATAATAATAATAATAATAATAATAAAAAAATGAAAAAGTAAAGAAAGAAAAACAGTAGGGAAAAAAACCAAAATGAAAAAATAAAAAAAAAAAAAATAAAAACCGAAGAAACGTTAAAAACAAAGGGAGAAAGTAGAGAAAAGTAATGAAAATGAGAAAAATCTGTGAAGAAAAATCACGTCGGATTATTAGGGCAGATTTTCACCGTCGGATTCGACTCATCCACGGTTGTCTCGTCGTTGTCGTAGTCGTCGTCGCCCCTGTGCGCTAAGTTTTTACTTATTTTCTTGCTAATCCTAACAAATGCCACGCTCATCAAAGCTTTTTCCCTAATGCGAACCCGCATGCGAGCGTTAATCTTGACCGAACGTTACGCGGTTTTCCGCGTTCCTCGCGAAAAGGGAACGTTTGTTCGTTAAGCGGAACACATTATTAACAAACCTTGATACTCCGGTGTCCTTTGCCATGGCTAATCTTGTTAAATCGTCTCTCTCTCTCTCTCTCTCTTTCTCTCTCTCTCTCTCTTTCTCTCCTTCTCTTCCTCTCTCTACATTTATTCGTTTATGTAAAGCAGATAAGAAAAGAAAAACAAGAAAAAAGATAGGAAAGTTGTC